TAGCATCACTGTTGGCATTAAAGTGCTAAACTGTTACTACTTTTGTAAATTTTTGGTGGTTAAAATTTCTTGTGGGAGTTAAATCTCCTTGAAAGGCTTGAATGATTTTGATGCATTACTATGCAATGCTACTTTAAGATTATCAGGGAAGAGTGTTTGCAAAGTTAGCTAACGCTGCACACCATAAGCACCACAGCAAGCTAAATAGGGCAGCGGTCACCTACTTGCAACCAGTGAGAGCCTCTTTCCTTTCTCCTCTTCTCCTCCTCCTCTCAGCCTGTCTTCTCTCTACCATTTTTTCTCCTTGTTTTGAAACTGATTGTCTTCTACCATCACAAAGACACTTGGTTCTGATTGATTGACAGGTAACAGAAGAGGAAGAGCACAGTGTGATTGGGGGGTTGGATCTGCAGCTAGACCCGGAGAGAAACATGTACGTGATGCTGTTTTACAGTCAATGAGAGACCATTTCTGGTTGGAGGGGTCTGTTGCAAAAAAAACTGGCCAGTAGCATTCCAGTTTTGTGTGAAATGGTGTGCAACCCAAATCAAGAAACACGTCACATGTAAACAAATGCACACAAGATTACATTTCAGAAGAGCAGACGTGTGTACATAGGGGTCCATGACCAAGTTCAGTTGCCCAGGATACACGGTCCTGCCCCATTATAAAGAGTTATATACATAAAGAAATGCAGAGAGGGCTGCAACAATACATGCACACAACCAGTGAAAAACAACAGTGACAGAAAACTACAAAACAAAGACCCCTCCAACACTTTTACCACCCTTCCCACCCATGTCCAACTTCCCCCGGGGTCTATTTGTCCTAGTCGTTCCCACCAAAGTCCAGGTTGATCCAGCTTTACTCTATACAATATACAATAGTCATGCAGAAAAAAAGTGTCCCCAAATGGGAGGAGTTTGTTTTTTCATTATTATTTTTTAATTTATGCTAGGAGCACTTAACACAATCGAGCTTTAAATAAAGAAAAAAAGAAATTAACATTTGAATAATGCTGAAACTAATTATTAGAAATTTGATGCATATATTGTAAATTCAGCGTATTTGTGATTTTTGCTCTTTTCTGTCATTTCAAATTTATTTATATATTTTTTTTGCTTTCTTCCACTCACAAATCCCTTTCCTTTCATGGTGTGTCTAAACATTCAAATGTCTTTCTTTTATAAAGAATTATGTACCGCCATCAATCATAATAATAATAATAGACAAGAAATTGGCAAATGAGTCAACCAAACAACAACACCAACAAAAACACAATTTAACAGTATAAAGCTTCAAGTCACAAGTTCAAAAACTAACTATTATTAGTCTTAGTAGTGTTAGTGTACTCATTGTAATTAGCATTAGTTACAAATTACATAAACTTTACACAAAACATTTGAGGTATTTCAGAATCAATTGTCAACACCTTCCTGCCAAATCCGTGTGGTTTCCAATGGGAGAAATAAATGAGGGAACTGGTTCAATGCGTCTCTTAAAATGGCATCTACTCCTGAATCACTTGCAACTATTTAAATCTTTGATAATCAAATTGTCAAAAAAAAGGGTTTTATTCTAAACTTGTTCTGGACTAAAATGGTTGCTGTAGAGCAGGGGTGGGCAAACTTGGCCCTTCCAGGCCAATTTCCTTCAGAGTTTAGCTCCAACCCTAACCAAACACACCTGAACCAGCTAATCATTGTCTTCAAGACTACTAGAAGGCTACAGGCAGATGAGTTTGATCAGGGTTGGATCAAATCTCTGCAGGAAAGTGGCCTGGAAGGGCCAAGTTTGCCCATCACTGCTGTAGAGCAGTGGTTCCCAACCCTGGTCCTGGAGGCACCCCAACACTGCATGTTTTGCATGTCTCCTTAATCAAACACACCTGATTCAGATCATCAGCTCATTAGTAAAGACTGCAAGACCTGAAATGTGGTGTACCAGAGAAAGGAGACATGCAAAATGTGCAGTGTTGGGATGCCTCCAGGACCAGGGTTGGGAACCACTGCTGTAGAGAATCAAATACTTCAGATTAAAGTCCTGTCTGGTATTTTAGAAGTTGATTTATCATATATCTTGATTTAAATTAGAAAGTGCTCCTGAAAATAGGCCATATGTAGATACAGTACTGTGGCATACTTAGTGAAATCAGGGTGCAAGTACACAATGCTAACATTTAAAGATATTTTGCAAATGTCCGCCAGTGCAAATAAAATAAACTGGCCTCACTCTGAAGACAATCTTAATGTGAAATAAACCTGGACTTATTTTAAAGGGCTCTTAGCCAAAATTACAGTTAAGTGATACTGGAAAAATAATAAAGTTGGCATTATAAAGTGCTTGAACGCCAGTTTATATCAAACTAACGTTAAAATCGCCCCCTGCTTCAATATCTGTATGCCTGCGTACTGTATAATTGCATGTTAGCATGAGTGTGCAAGGTGCCGTTCACACAGAACGCGTTCTTTCGTTTAAAGACGCGAGACGCCGCGCTTATGAATGGAAAATAGCGCACGATCCCAGGCGCGTTTTTAAAACCAGACACGGCGCCTTTAAATCGCAGCGATCCCGCGCGAGACACTGAAAATAGCGCGGGACGCGGCTGAACGGTGGAAACACCAATGTAGTGCATGTTTACATAGAAACACGATGAAAACCAGCGCAATGGACCTCAAAAACGCGTTCCGTGTGTAAAATGTTCATGTGTGTGTGCTGCTTTGTGTGTATATGTGTGTATTTCAGAGCAGTCCCACCCGTTGTTGAAGGAAAAAGGCACTCAACTCAATCTGCATAGCAGCCGCATCCCTCAGTGGAGTGCTATGCAGTCTGACTGCACTGTATGAGTGTGTATATATGACCTTTACGTGAAAATTCATTTGTATGTTTGTTTACATCTGTAACAGCTTTGGTTATGCTATTGGGCTTTTGGTGTTTGGTGTATATTCCTCCCTTTGGCAGCACAGGACTGGCAGGTCAAAAAATCTTTGGTATCAGTGGCTGTTTCACAAACCACCCAGCTCAGTGAGGTAGCCACACTGGTTCTCACTACAAACAAAAGGTCCCTTTTATCAGCTAATGTACATATTGATGACCGCTTAATGCTCATAATCAGGCCCACACGGAATCTATGTATAAAAGCCTGTGAAAAATTACTGAAGATTTCCACAGTCTGTCATTTACAAAATTCTGAACATCTGCTGCCCCTTGAACGTCCATTTATTAAATATTTTGGCTAATTTGATTATGCTTTCAGCTACACATTGCACCGTTTGAATTAATTTTGCTGATTTCTCTCCTCAAATTTTTGCAGATTCCATCTGGGCCTGCTTATAAATCAATGCTCAGAGCATCATTGCATTAACAATGCCCACTTTTATCTGTTCAGCAAGTCCTGCAACATTTCCAGAAATGCTACAGTTGCATTCAAAGACACTAAAAAAAGACTCCTCTTCGATTTTGAACATCTCCCCACGGAGGTAAGGTTGTGCCCTTGTTTCACACCCATTTGGCAGGGTTTTCCGAGGATTTTGGGAGAAATGTTTGGTTTGTTTACTCTTCAACAGAGCCAAGAGAGAGCGATATCTCTTTCACGGTCAGTGAAAGTTCCTTCCGTTATGACCTGTGGTAGTTCACATGCAATGTAGAGATGTCCATCTGCAGTCCTCCCAAGTTTGGTTTTTCTTTTAGAAAGTCCTTTTTTAATGAATTTTCCAAATGATCAACAAGATGCCTTACATATGCACAGATCACAAGTTTAATAAGAAATAGAAATATGTTGTACCAATTACCCGCTTTAATATTATGAAGAGAACGCAAGTGGGAGAGAGATCAAAAGAAAAATAGGGGTTTAAGGGTTAAAGAGGAGGAGAAACTTTTTTTGTGTGTGTTTTCTGTTTCTGTTGTGTTGCTGTAGAGATATTTCTACCTTTTCAGATGGTTTTATTATAGACTAGCTGTACTAAATGATTTAAAGCATTGATTATTTTCATATTTTTGTTTAAAAAAAGATTCTGATTCTTTTTAAAAGATGATTGTTGGTTGCTATGGCACATAATGCCAGTTAGGGAGCGGACTCTGGCTGAGAGTATGTGAACTTTTATATTATATTAAGGCAAACATTATTGGCACTAGATTTAATGTAACATTTTTAACTGTTTACCCCTTGTCCACTTTACAGGATAAACAAAATATTTGATTTGTCAGTAAGATTTCAGTTGCGTGTGGATGTATTTTGTAACAAATATTTCCATACGTGTTTAAAATGTGCCTTGTTGTGTTTGGCTGTACCTGTCTTGACATTTGGCCTATTGTGTACCTACACGGAATGAAAAATATTCTATTCATAGTTGAAATATCATAGGTCACAGTCTGTCGAGATCAGAAAGGGTGCACCGTTTGCTAAAAATGGTCCAGTATTTTGTCCCCAGACTTGAAGACAGTTGTCGACTGGTTTGCTTGTTGCAAAACACGTGTTAACCCCAAGTGCCATGAAACATCTCAGTCCAGCCCTCCATTTCCATCTGTGCAAAATAAACCGAATGGAGAGCCATGCTGGGCGAACGCGCGAGTCCTTGTTGTGGGAGCTTGTTCCATTTCACCTTCAGTAGAGTTCGACGTCCTTCGCTTTTCTGTCCGTATCGATTAGTCTCTCAATTCATTAGCTTAGCATATGATCTGAGAGCCTTAGTGAAACAACTGGCCATTAGGGAATTGTGCCGCCGTGGGCCCGAGAGTGATGATGCAGGTGGTGGCTTTCTTTGACAACCTTGCTTGAGTAACAAGCCTTCTGTGCTGTGAGCTGTGAAAGTGCTCGTTTGTCCTCAACTGCACAAACAGACCATTTCAGCGCACTTTTTTGTGGTTTATTTGAATATAATGTGGTGCTTTTCCATGTGGAGATGTTTGGCTTGATTTCATAACAGTCCCAAAGTAAAAGGTTGCATTTAACATGAAACATTGCCATTTTTGGCAGCAGTGGGATTGATTGGCACGCAACGGGTGACTGTGAGGTTGGACTGATCCAGTCTCAGCCGCCCAGGGGAAAAGGGATTTAGAATTAAGCCTTGGAAAAGGTGGTGGCGGAGGTGCCTGGCTGGCTGGGACTTGCTACATGGCCGTGATGGTGTTCCTCATGCCAGCGGTCAACGCAGCGGCGACGTGCGTTCATGAAGAAGTTGCTGACGGTACTGAGTTCCAGTCCCAGCTGCTGCGAGATGGTCAGCTGCATTTCCTTCGAGGGCCGCTTGTTCTCCTTGAAAATGGCGATGAGTGTGCGGCGCTGCAGGTCGGTGAAGACCAAACGCTGCTTCTTGGGTGCCATATTGCGTTCCTTGTGCTGCTCCTGTTCCTTACGTTTGCAAGCTGCGGGGATCAGGAGGATGAACAAGAAAGATCAGGAAAAGGGAAGTAGACAAAGAAAACGGAGAAGAAAAAAATTAATTAGCCTCGTGTTTGATCTACATATGAAATGCCCTATTTCAGAGCAAATTCCACAGATGAACGGCTTCGCAGGGAGTCGAAATGTTCAGACTCTCCTGTTTGGCTGTGGATTAATAGTGATTTAAGACAAATCCATTCTATCTCCCCGGAGGTCAAAAATCATCCCTTTAAAGAGAGCAGACAGAGCAGGCCAGCGGTGAGCACCTCAGCCTGGTCGTTGGAGACACTGCTGTTTGATTCAATATTAATGCAGTTTGGGCTCACAGTAGGAGAGTGAGTGACTGGTATACAAAAGTAGGGGTCTTTGTGTGTGAGAGAAAGAAAGAAAGAAAGAAAAGAGAGAGAAAAGAAAAAAGATAAATAAAAAAGGAAAGACGCAAGGGGGGTATTGACTCACCCTATTTTAGTGTGTATGTGTCTGTTTTTGGAGGTGGGTTCGTCCGCAGAGACTTCGGTCTGAACGCCCCTCCAGCAGGTCTGTAGTCTGAGACTTCAAACAGAGGCCACTGGAGGGCACAGACCTAAGAGAGGCAAAGTATTTTCGAACTGCCTTTAACTCACACCAAAACCTCCTTGTATATGTTTCTGTCCTGGCAATGCAGAGAGAGAGATTCTGGTTGCCAACTTGAGGGCAGTAAACACTGCGAGTGTTCTACCAAAGTGTTAGGAAATGGTTTGGTTCATTTACAGCTCACAAGCACAAATGATTTTATTATGTGCAAAGCAAATCAAATGACTTTTTTTTCCAGATTTTTTTTTATATATATTTATTTTTACACGATGTTTTATTATTGGTTTGTTTTCCAATGCACTCACAGACCTTTTGCTTCTCTCAGCGGTTTTTTTTTTTTTGTGAATGGATCATTCATTTCTTACCTCCTTCGCCTCAATAGCCTGTAAAAGCAGCAGCTCTTTGCGTCTTACTCGGATTTTATCTGACTGTGTGCGTTAGTGGAGTGACTGGAGCCAAACTGTGATGCCATGTATCTAATTACACTGAGCTGAGGCCCATTGATCACGTCACCTCTCGCAGTCAAATCTGTTTACTACAGGCGTCTAACTGCCTGGACCGCATCCATCATATTCAGATTCCATATCAGCCACTCTGCGTTTACACACACACACGGGCGCATTGTATTAAATGCATTGTACACTTGAAGTGTACCGTTTAAATGTTGACGGTACTTTAACGTGCTTATAATATTTGTTTTCACATAACATTACTCCTATCGCATAAAGGTGTCTCGGAGCGCGGAGTCTAAAGTCAATGATGAAGCTTTAAAGCCTTTTAAATTGTAACGAGTCGTCTGTGTTGCTCGACTGAAATAACTCCGCCTGAAAACGCAAACCTCAGCGTATCTGACGCAGACGAGCTGTCAGCTAGATTTACTTGAGGATTTAGTTTTTGAACGTCATTTGCTTCGTGTCAGTGGTTTTCAGCAGGCTACTCTTAACAGTACAGATTTTTTATATTTATATTCAAAAATCTAGGCTGTGTTTGGTGTTAAAATCTACCAGCAGGTGTCGCTGGCGCTATTCCCTGGTGTAAACGGTTTACAGGCGTAAGATTTTGTAATCAATATTGATCGATCGGTTGGGAAGGGGGCACTGATTACTGAACCAAGCTCGGCGTAGAAAAGGAGAAAATCGATAGCTGCAGACTTTAGAGCTACAGTGAGCAGAGTGGGACAGAAGCAGAAATATATTGTACAGAAAGAAATAAGGCAACGAGTGACAAAGAGTGAATTGAAACATTTGGATGGGATTTTTGACAGACTTTAAAAAATCCGAATTTTGACAGTTATTAGCACGTTTGATAAATTTCTCAAATTCTAAATAAAACCAGACTGACTGTAGGGTCTCTCTCTCTCTCTCTCTCTCTCTCAGTAGCCTATGATATGATCTATAAAGATTCCATATGATCTGTATGGAAGAACTGGCAGAATCTTGTTATGTTTATGATTATAGAACGTTATACAAACTTCATATTTACAGTTGTTATTTCAATTAAGCAAAACAAAATATTAAAGGATTTTCACCTGGCATCTCTTCTGTTGCAGGTACAGCAGTGGAGCGCAACGGTCGTTTCACAAAATGGGTGCATTTTCGTTTTGAAAAGGTTTCTTTTTATATACATTTCTTTAAGACTTTCAATTCTGTCATACAAAGAAATGCCTTAGGGTTTTATTAAATTGCGTTGTGCCTTCTCAAGTTCAACGTAAAAAATATGTTGCGATTTAGCTGTCTTTAAAAAACATTTGACGACAGGGTTGACAGTTTACAGTTCGTTTAGCCATTAGGCCTATTACTAGCCGTGTACTCAAGGTCACGACACTATATAAAGATCATTTCAATCTTATATTTCTTAGTATCTGTTTTTAAAATAATTAGGCTAGTAATTACTTGTACAATACCATGATAACAAAGTTGACTACTGACAAAAGTAAGACAAAGTGATAAAACGAGAAGACACTTGTTCATATGATGCGGAAAAGAATTTTAAAGAATGTGTGGAATTGTAGGCCCTAGATTAAAAAAAATTGATAATAGTGAGAATGAATTCGTAAAATAATTACGCTATGATTTTATTTTTTATTAATTTTATTTACTATTTATTTTTGCGTATGATAACAGGCTTGCTAAATTTAACAATACCTTTTCATCATAAAAGGGGGACCCCCTTTAAATGAAATGACTCTTAAGATATTCATTTACGCAAATATCTAAGATGATAAAAAAAAACCGACTCCGAAGTTTTCTACGACTGTTTCAAATGTTCTCTAACAGGGCAGTTTCTGACTTGCCTTGCTACACACCAGTGATAGCGGGGTAGGCCTGTGGTGTTCAATACCGCTCGATAAATCATTTAATCTAAAACACCAAAATGCATTTCATCTAATTATAGTTCCATGAAAATTGTTCTGGTAACGAGCCAGAAACTATGGTAGGCCTGCCTTGTACCAATGGGGCGCTGAGTCTAAATTCTAAGTAATACCAATTTAATAGCTCTGCGTGCTGTGCAGTGTGGGGAATGACAAATGAGTAGGCCTACACACTGCAGAATCTGAATAATGACTAAAAAACACAGCTACACGCGTCCAGAAAACCTCATTTATGTATGGCCTATGATAGTGTTAATTAGTCTCGATGTGGGACATTGGCCAACCGCAGATACGTCTTTAAATTACACCGTAGGCCTATTTACCGCAAATGTATGGCTAACGCTTATTTATTTTTAATAAATGAGGCTTAATCTATTCGACTATGTACAAGTGCGTTTTGTAATGTGAGCACTTGGATTTAAGCATTTCTTGTCTTTTATTTATCATTTGATTTATAAAATGCTTTTTTTTTTATTGTACGGCCCATGGGGATTATAATGTTCATTATGCTCATCAACTATGATTCGAACAAGTGTATATGAATTGTATGCAAATTCAGTCTATAGGCTTATTTGAATAACTGAAAAAAGTCAAATAACGAGACACTATTTGAACACTATTTGAAATATGAAAACAGAGTTATAAAATAACACCTTTATGCGTCAGTTTCTTCTTTTTTGCCATTTTTTTTTAATCTAGAATATTTTGTTAATTGGTAAGCTCTTCTTGTAAACAACATTGTGCTCAAGGCTCTCTCTAAACTACTCAACTAAATTTAGTGTAATGCAATAAGGAAAGATCAGTATGCTAATGTTCAGGTAATTTGAAATAACAACTCGGTTAGTCGGTTATAGTTATTGAAGCCAACACATTATCGCAAATCATTAGCCATGAACGTACGTCAGAATATTTGCGTTAACGAAGAGAATATTGAAGACATAAAAACAAGGAAAATGTAAACAACATTGATAAAATGTTATACACTTCATAAATATGTAGTTTAGTACTATAGTGAAGCGTATTGTGCAAGTATTTTCGGTGTGCGTGCGGATGATATTTTGGAGGAATCATTTTTTTTTGTTCTATTAATTTCTGTAGTTTAATATAAAACATTAATGACCGTAGGCCTGCTTATGTTGGTCGACATAACGTCAGATACCAAATTTAATGGAAAGCGTTCGATCAACGTTCTGTTGCTATGGTAAGTAACTTTTGTGGTGACTAGATATTGAAAGGTATAGCCTATAAACTTATGTAAAAAGACCAATAGACTTCTTGACCTTTGTTGCCTTAATTGTTGCACCCTGAGTGCAGTGTATAGTGTCTAAATCAGCAAATTATGTTCTACGTTTCAGACGGTTATCAGTCTTATATGTTCAAATCTTACAATATGAATCGTTGCCATATTATAAATTATTGATATTGCAGAATACAGTGTGTGTGAAGGATTCGATAAATGTACTAGCCATCAAAGGCAGTCATACATGTTTGAAGTATAGGAATACATTTTGCTTTATAGGCCCATGGCAGGTTCATGTCTTTGAGGGTTAAAGTTGGGTTCATCATCATGACTAATTGGAACTATAATAATGGTTCAGTCCAAGGGTTCTCGACTTCACAAAGTCTAAATAAATAAATAAATGGTGTCTCCTGTGAAAGCTGGAGGTGTATGTGCACTATCTTGGATTTCAAGTGGGAGGACTGAGGGAGTGCAAGGATCGATGACTGGCTGCGCTGCTCAGCCGACCAGTCTGCCTAGGATCGATGCATATAGTGCGGCTGAGCTGAAATTGGGAGCTTCCATAGAGGCCTATCCAGCGGTGGTTAAAAAGTCAGTGTGTCATGAAATTGCCCTTGTATGAATATGAATTGCTAATCTGTTAGAGGGTCTGGGTTGGGAAACACTACAGCTGATATGTGGGGTAAGTATGATGTGGGTGAAGCTTGTTGTCACTCTAGAACATTACTAATGAGGTTACACCTTTTTCCGCTTTTTTCCAGTGTCCTGACTAAACAAGCACATGACACTTAAAAGTCTCT